ACCAAGTATTATATAGATAGATTGAGTATATACAAAGTGTATATGAGTGATGAAATAATTATATACTGCTTATCACCATGGAAGCTGCTGCAGTGTGTCGGAGCGAGAGGGAGATATGTAAACAAAAAACTGTTCTAACTGATACTGGCTACTGATAATGGCAAGAAGCAGAGGCGCCTGGTACAGCTGCTGCCGTATAAATTACTATCAGGACGCGGACAGAGACAGCGCTCATTATCAGCCAGGCAACAAGAGAGCGGGAGCGTGAGAGAGAGCGGGAGATGCAGAGAGAGATAGAGCGGGATTGAGGGAGAGAAAGGGAGAGAGAGAGGGAGAACTGGAAGGGCGATAGCAGCGCCGGGTTTTGGTTTCTTTTCAGATTTTTTTTTTTGTCTGCTCTCACATATTTTTGATATTTTTGGTCAGACAGAGCTGTCTGGTTGCCCCGAGGAGCAGAGCGAGCAACTGAGCCGAGCGACTGAGACGTGACTTTCGGATTGTGCCACAGGCAACCTGTCATAATTATCTGGGATACGCACTCAGCCAGTCAGTCCATCAACGTCTGTTTGTGCCTCAACATGTGGCTGCTGCTGCCGATACTCGTCTACTCGCTGATCTATCTATATGTTCGGCACATCTATAGCTACTGGCGGCGCAAGGGCTTCCCAAGCGAGGCGACCGCATTCTCCTTGCGCTACCTCAAGCGGTTCTATCACCGCGAGTTCCGGCACGTGCAGGCCATATGTGAGGCCTACCATGAGGGACGCGATCGTCTGCACGGCATCTACTGCTTCTTTCGGCCCGTGTTGCTGGTGCGCGATCCCGATCTGGCCGGCCACATTTTGCAGCAATCGTATGGACATTTCGGTGAAGGCAAATGGGAATATGTGAAAAGCTATCGGCGCTTCAATTTGCTGGAGAAGCTATCGCCCATGTTCAGCAAGAGGCGTTTGTCGCCGATGTTCAACAATGCCCAGCGCGTGGCGCAGCACATGATGCAACATTTGCTGGACAGGGAGCAGCAGGGCAGAGTGGAGCTGGATCTGCAGCAGCTGCTGCGAACGTGAGTAGCATGGCAGAAATCAAGTCCAACTCTGATTAAACTCCATAAAACCCCTAACCAGTTATGCTGTAAATATGATGGGCAATCTGGTGTACGGCCTGGATGTGAACAACTTTGAGCAAACGGATCACATACTCAACAGCTATGTTCAGCATCCCTCGCAATACGGCGTACTGCAGTCCTTGTAGGTATCCGTAATTCCGTCTCACTAATTCCGTATTAAATAAATTTCCATGCCTAGCACATTGAGGGGCACGCCACAGAACTCAGCGCTGAGCACTCGCCTTTTGGATCTCGTCAAGCAGAATGTGGAGCTGCGCGAACAGAGCGGCATCATGCGCAAGGACATGCTCCAGCTGATGGTCAAATTTCGTAATGGCAACGATCTCAGCGATGGCAACGACCAATGGCACATCGAGCATCCATTTCGTAAGTTACCCTCTCCCTCCATCTCTCGCTGCCATATACCATAGCTTTAGTCTTTTTCAGGCACAGAAGACTACAAGCTGATGTCCATCAAACACCTGGCCAAGGTAGCTGAGGATCTGCTGCACACCGGCTTGAACAGCATAGCATCGACCATAACGCTCACGCTCTATGAGATCGCGCAGCAGCCGCTAATTGTCGAGAAGCTGCAGACTGAGATTAAGGAGCTCAACTTTGTGGATGGTCAGCTGACGTTTGAGCAATTGGAGCAGCTCAAATATATGGAAATGTGTCTGAAAGGTAAATTTACAATATACTTTTGCTTCATCACATCCCTTACATTGCTTACATACGCTTCATCGCGACTCTCGAACATGTTGCAAGCATCGAGCAGTTCGAACTTCTTTCTTATAAACTTGTACGGGTTTGATGAGTCGTCTATTTGAACTCGAGAGTTCGAGTCCGAGTTTATTGCAAATTATTTACACGACGCTTGGGTCCAACTTAGACAATCGTACCGCATTTTGGAAAAGCGTGCTTAGCCCTCCTCCCAACACTTTAGTTGAACTTCACGCCTTTAACCCTTTAGCCCTTTATACAGCGTCCCTTAGCTTCACCACCGGCTTTATTGCGGCTGCCATCTCAATTTGAGTAACCTACATCAATCCCAACTAAATATCCCATTGTTCTGCTTTACAGAAACCCTTCGCAAGTATCCGCCAGTGCCCATTATAGAACGCATTTGTCGCAAGTCCTACACATTGCCCGGCACCAAATTCAGCATTGGGGAGGGCAAAACGTTGATGGTGCCGCTGCTGGCCATACAGCGGGATAGCAAATACTTTGTCGAGCCACTGAAATATAAGCCACTGCGTTTTCTACATGACAAGAGCCAGGATATCAGACAACGTCGCTCGGCCTTCGTGGGTTTCGGCATCGGCGGTGCACAATGTGCGGGTAAGTGGCGAGCAGAAAGGCATTTTTAAAGGTGAACAAAATTAAGCTGTGTTTTCCGCTTTTTCATTTTCCTTTCCGCAGCACAAAACTTTGCCAAAATGGTCATTAAACTGGCGCTTGTTAAGCTGCTGCAAAACTATCATCTGGAATTGGATGCGAGTGCTGCACTCGAGGTGTCACATCTGCCGGCGCCGTTCATAAGCTCCAAGGGTGGACTCAAAGTTCAATTAAAAGCGCGTGAAATTTTAACACAAAGCAATTATCTCAAAAGTTCAAAACATATTTAATTTATGCAACACGTGACGTATTTTCTTCTCTCTCTCTCTCTTTATATATTTTTTGTATGCTTTACCAACACTTTATTTGGGTATTCTGTTTTGCTAGCTATGAGCACCTAAAAATATGCCATAAATAAAATCAGTAAATAATGGCCTGAAATTGCGTTGTTCTCGATGGTATACCCTGTTACCAATGAGAATATGTAGAAAAGGACATTTAGTTTTGGCCGAATGTATGTAAAAGGTGGGAGAAAACGTCTCCGACTTTATAAAATATATATGTATAGTTATCTAAGCGATCAGGACGATAAACTAAGTCTGCCTGGAAGAACTCGTCGAATGCGAAAAATTATGTATATATCGATATTTATCGATTTAGAGATTAGTTATGTATAACTTGTGTATCGTAAGACATCAATTCGTCTAACTTCCTATGTAAGGACAAATGTTTATTTGAGCAATGTTTATTTGTAGAACAAATTTGTATGTCTAGGACTAGTTGAAGAAGGGGAAAGTCAGCTTGTCGCTGGCTGCAGGGTATCAATTAGTCGGGCACTCTAGAACTACAGCATTTGGACTTGTTGTCTTGTTGTCTGTTCATTTCGCCTCGTTAGCAACGTGCAAAATGCCAAAGGTCCTTGGTTCTTTTGACGCGCACACGAGGCGTATACGCAACGGCGTTAAATTAGACATTACATGTGTTTGTTGTTCGTATTGTTGTTGTTGTTATTGTTGTGATTGTTGTTATTGTTGTTGCTGTTTTGGCTGCGGAAAAACTCATCAGGCGTAAAAGACATGATCAAGCACATGAGCTTATCATTAAATTTGATTTGCTTTATTGTCAATTCACAGGACATGCGGTATTGTCTTATTGGCACTCATTGGAAATGGAAATCTGGAAAAGTCACAGCAGCCCCCCCAAACCCTAAGACCCACCAAGGCAAAGTTTCGAGCATCTCACTTAGTTGGCCATTAACGAGGCCACAATTAGGCCGCATTATGAACTCATTTATCAAGCTGCCAAGAGCAAGAGATACCATTATGTGGCACTAGGAAAAGCCATTGCAATCAGTGTAAAACATTTAGCAAAATTAAGAACCAGGCTAAGCAATCGCCGTCAACCCATTCCAAGTCTTATTACCGAGACATCACATTAATTGAGCTCTGTGGGTGACCAGAATCAAAGGCCAGACTTTGAAATTCGAGCATAGAAGCAGCGGGTAGCGAGCTGCTTGTAATGAGCCGGAAATTATGTGCCTTGCTTCTAATGGCAACCGAATTATTAATTGCGTATACGCCTTCATGGACACAGGCTGACTCGACTTATTGAATCGCTTTAAGCCAAAAGCAGACGCAGATGAACAGGTGGCTGGAAAAATTAAACAACTACGCAAAATTCTTTACACAGGAAAATTGGTAAGTTAAAGCAGACGAAAAGAGTCCCAAGGATTATGGAACTATGTCTGTTATATAATCTACATACACATTTAATATAGTATAATGCAACTTATTTGTTTTCTGTCTGCCTTTAGGGTTGCTTAACTCTAGATCTTTAATAGTTTAAGCTTAACAACTCAAAATATTTATCGATTTCGATTAAGTGATTTGAAATTTGAGACAGGCAATACGAATATCCCCTTCTTTTACTTTGTGAACAGCGTATAACAATTTAAAGAGTCCAACGAATACGTGAGTTTTCAGTTGCAACAACAACAACAACAAGAAGAAGCAGAAGAACAGAGCTCTTGACATGCACTGACCCAGTTGCCACATGTCGAGGCACCGAATATAAATTGCTTGGCAGATTCGCAGCAAGATTTCCTCGTAGATTTGCCCAGGCCCCCAGAGCCGAGGGGCTACAAAATAAAGCGCCGCCCTGGCATTGTCCCGATTACATTTAAATATAACACATTGCATATTAAGTGGTCAAAATGGCAGGACCTGCAGCCGTCCTCTCCCCCACCCATAAAACTCCCTGTCAACCCACTTGTTAAGCTTAAAGTGTGTGCTACAAAGCAGCCGACGCGGCATGAAATATGCGAGCGCATAAAAATTTCATTTAAATGAGAGAGAGACAGAACGAGTGAATGAGAAAGAGAGTGGCATAAATTAGGAAATATTTCTCTCTTGGCGACATTTGACATGGAGAAATTACTTAAGTGTTTGCTAATTTTTCATGTAAATTTTATTTTTTCTCTCCTTCTTTTTTTTGGCGCATAATTGCCATGTGAAAAAGGCGCTGAAAGAGAACCCCAATTAGCAGCGTATTTACTTACCATAATTTAAGATTTAAGCTTTGCTCGGCAACAAATTTCAACTGCAAAGAGGGAAGAGAAAGAAAATGTTGAAAGTTTTTACGATTTGTATTTCTAATGAGTTTGCTTTATTAAATATCAAGTGTTATTTTAAGATACTTGTTGTTTTTTTTTTTTTTTTTTTTTTGGCTGTAGACAAGTTCGTTACAAATAGTTTGTTATTGAATAACAATTTGTAAAAGTTCATTGCAGCAGTTTGTTATTGAACTTTTGGCATAACTTAAACAAAAAAAAAAAAAAGCTCAATGAAAACTTGAACTGCATTTGGTAAAAACAACAAGCGACAAAAGAGAAAGATACAAAAACAATCAAGTTAGTGTGCTTTAGAGCAGTATGTGCTCGACTGGGCAATACCCTGCACCATATTTTGGAGCTATAATATATATGTGTTATGTTCCAGAGTAGTCTATTTATTAAATTAGGACTATTTACCTATTAAGTTGAAACAAGGCGAGTTTTTAAAGGATCAATAATGTAAGCCCGAACTGTTCGCGCCTAAGAATAGCTTTAAGATTCAATAATTATAAAGTCTCTATTATTTCATGCCTCTATCGATAATTATAGATTTTGTGAACATCGACTCGTTGATACGAACAGCCAGACATTATCTCGGCTGTTTATCAGAGAGAGTCGTAGATTTTTAATTTTAACCGTAACATACGTGCGAACAAAACCATCATACCCATTCTCAATAGCTACAGGGTACACAAAAAATGTGACAACAAAAACTACACGATCCGACATAAAAGGTTATCAGCGACGTCTCTTTTAATTAACCAATTGACATATGACTTTTGTCTGGCAGATTGTTGTTGTTCTGCTTCTTCATTTTTATACAAAAAAAATGATGTCGTTGAACAAAAGTTATGCAAACTTTGAAAAGTTTTTCAAGCCAACAATAAGTAGACAAAGCGAATTCAATATTATATAATAAAAGAGATTAATAAGGGGCGGTTATTTTATAAAAATTTCTCTGCTTCAAATTTTAAGCAGTTCCCTAACTTTAATCTTAAGAAATATAATGTCATTTTTTAAAGAGGCGGCACCTAGCTAAAATACCTTCTTAAGCTTTACAAATGCGTTCTATTCACTTTTCCAAGTATTTGATGCGAACTTAATGAGCCAAGAACTCAGCTTTTGTTTATGTTCGGCTGAAAAGTCATTTTAGCTGGAGAACTGGGCGCTTGTGCATTCAACTTAAGAGTTTAAGGTGTGCGAAAAATTTGTGTGGTAACTGTATGCGTTTTCTATGGTAATTGACTTGGAGAGAAACAAACTGAATTTCTTATTATAACACGACAAAATATATCTTTGACTTTGCTATAAATTATTTTAAAAGCTTTTCTTCAAACGAATGCTATTAACTTTTTATTGAAATCTCAAAAAATTATATTAAAGTTATAGAAATAATATTCACAAGGCCCGGAACTATCTTGAATCAGTCTAAGCTTATATTACCCCCCTTTTCGTGTTTATTTGCTTAACATGGACACGCACGAGAAACAATTATCAAACACGAACACGATAATCGCTCCACACTAGCTGCATAAGTATATATTCTTTTTGGTTCCCACTCAACTTGAAGTCGTCTTAACCGGGAACTCTGAGCATATTTTCTGCATATTCATTTTACCACTTCTGTTAATTCGGCACTTAACTGTGCTCGGACTTCAAGAGCGCCCAAGCAACGACCCACGCGACCTCAGGGCGACACAGTAATAAAAATAAATAAGCGTCAACCATTATATACACACATACAACCCATATTATATTTTTTTTTCATTTTTTATTTGTTTAACAATTAAATTCTGTGTGTATTTTTATCATGATGATCTTGGTGAGTAAATGCTAAGCAGACAAACAGAATGACAAATTGTGAGGGACAATTGTTGTTGTCATTGTTGTTATTGCACTCCTACTTAAATAGAACTTACATGCAACATCATATACACTCGAAGAAATCTAAAAGCATTTGGGGGTTAAATCAAACATCAAGAGGCAAAAACTACTACCACTACTAATTTCAGTGCTGCTTTTAACTCTCTTCTTTTGATTTCTTTGAGAAAAAATATTTATAATTGAAATAGTCAACGAAAAATTATAGGAATTTTAATCTCAACATACTGAAATACTGGTATGTTTATAACATTTAAAAAATATATATATATAATATAGGAATTTTTCTCGAAGTGTATTTATGTGGTGAGCCCCATCATGGTCATGCATTTGTAAAACAATAACTTTTCTCCAAGTGTATTTACTTCATGCACTGGCTCTGTTTATTGCGTTGGATTTCTTGATTCTCGGTTAAGTTCGCTGGTTAAGTTAGCTCGTTGCTGGCTGTGGGGTTGACTTTTTCAATTTGTGTGCGGCGTTGCATACACACATATGTGTAATTGTCGCTGCAACGTGCAACGTGCAACATGCGGCATATGATGACGCGGCTGCTTCTTTTGATGCTGCTGCTGCTGCTTTTGCTGCTGCTGCTGCTGCTGATGTTGTGCGGCGTTGTGCGTGCAGCTGTTTTGCTGTTTGCTTTGTTTATATTATTTGTTTTGTTTGTTGGCCTGGTTCTTGATGTTGTTGCTGCGCTTGTCACAATTGTTGCTGCTGCTGTTGCCGGTGTCTGCGCACAGTTGCTTTAATTATTGTCGCAACACTCGCCTGCATGTGTGTTTGTCTGTTTGTCGCTGCGTTTACTTATTTATATTTATGTGTATATTTATATCTGTTTCCGACTTTTAATTAATTTATGTATATGTGTGCTTCTGCCTTGCATTCTCCGAGGCGCTTAAACAGTGCGTTGAATTCAGCCAACAGTCCGCAAAAGAACACTTCAATTACATTTATGTACAATGCACATCCAAACAAAAAAAAAAAAAGCGAATTAAGCAGTTAAAACCAAGTACAACCAGAAATTACTGCATCAAAGTAATTAGTAGGCAAAGTAAAATACATTAATATTGATTTTACGTGTGTGTTCTGGATTAAAGTGCTGAAAAACTAAGTTTTTGTATATGCATTTTGCTTTATGGATGTGTGAAAGCATATTGCTTACTTTAATTAATAATTGACAACAAAAAACGTTAAATATTTTGTGTAAATAAATATATTTTAGGTCTGAATATTATTGTCAAAGGGAAAGTAAGAGGGATGAATCTGCCAGGTGATACATATTCTCATTCATTGCAGCTGATACCTAAATATTGAAAATATTATTATTAGTATTAGCCTAAATGTATCTTCCATGCGATAGCGTAACGCCTTTATGTATCCCTAAAACGATCTTTCGCTTTGGAAGACAATAAGGCGAAACGTTTGCGATAGTTGTTATGAGCTGCTGTTCGAATTTGCATTCTTTTGGGCTGCTCAAATACAAACCAAAACATTCCCAACCGCAATTTAATATATGTGACCCATTTGGCAGGACTCCAGACACACTTCAATTGAGGTTATGTGAGCGGGGCGCAGCTGTACTTTTTATATAACATATATATGCCAAATCAGCGCAATTATGAAGCGTAATGCAATAAATTGTTACAAATTGTGATTTATTCGTGTCATAAATGCAGAAACTGTTGCCAAATGTGCGAAACTTTCATTTAAATTGTGCATTGGCCGTCCCACTGGCAGGAGCGTAGCGGCTGTGGGTGGGCGTGGCAAAGTTTAAATGCGATTATAATGATAATTAATTATGCATTTAAATTAATGAAATTAGCACGCACAGCGAATCGTGGACTTTGCATAATGCCAGCTAATGCTGCTGCAAATTCAATTGTATTTCCAGATGGCCAATAAAGCAGTCAGTGTCAATGTTGTTGTTGGTTGTTTGTTGTTGTTGTTGCTTGTTGGTTCTTGTAGCGCGTAAATTAATAAACATAATTTACACCTGTGTATGTTTGCCCATAGCATGCCACATAAATGTGCAAATGGTGTATTTCAATTTTGAACAGATTTACAAATTCACGCCCCTAACGAAAATTCGTGAATTCCTTTTTTTTTGCTGTTGCCAAAAATATATAACTCCCAAAATGGCATGCAGCATGTTGCTATTATTATTGTTGTTGTTGTTGTTGTTGTTTTTGTGGTTATGGTTTTAATTCTTATATGGTCTTTCATGTGACAAACTTGGGCAATTTCCGTTGCACGGAAATGTGCACAATTTAATTCCTTTTCCCCATTTATTTTTGTTGTACCCTAGCAACGGGGTATTATAATTATGACAGCAAATATGTAACATCTTGATGGAGACATTGTCGTCTTCAATAACTGAGTACGCTCTAGTTGCCTTAACTTCGAAACTATTTTAACGAAATGTGTAAATATAAATGGTTCCTTAATAAATTGGCATCCTTTTCCATGGCTAAATTGTTAAGGAATTGTAAGGAATATCTTTTTCGATGTTCCTAACATCGTTTGGTATGGATGATATTTTTTTTTAATTTTATGCATCACTCGAAAATTATATAAGCTAAGCACAGATAGATACAAATTGGTATGCAGATTTACTTATAGTATACACAGATTAAGAAGATATCACATTCCACCAAAATAGAAAATTCTCAAGCTAGAGCTTTGATAGATAGTTAGGTGCCATATTCATTCCCTGAAAAGCTTACAACAATCGTATAACACACATTGAAGTTAAGCCAGAGCCTATGTGCCAAACTTAATGCATGCAGAGTATAAAGCTAAAATTCGTGTAAAGGCAGCTAATCTCTGATTTTAGGGCATCTTCTAGTCGTTTACTTGACATGCTCTGACTTGCTATTCCTGCAAAAATTAAGTCATTTGCAGCAACATCTTTTGGTCCGCGGCCAAGCAGAAGCTGTTTAGATGTTATATTCGAGCACTTAGATCTCCCCACAGAGTTGATAATTTTCCGCTTGAGTTGGACTCTCGGTTGGCTCGGTTGTCTCGGTGCTAACAACTTCACTTGCTGTTGCTTTTAATTAGAATCAGAAAACTTGCCACAACATGAGAATCTCACTGAGAGTTTGTA